AAGACAACACCACATCTTGCAAGGAGCCTGATACATCAACAAGACAACACCACATCTTGCAAGGAGCCTGATACATCAACAAGACAACACCACATCTTGCAAGGAGCCTGATACATCAACAAGACAACACCACATCTTGCAAGGAGCCTGATACATCAACAAGACAACACCACATCTTGCAAGGAGCCTGATACATCAACAAGACAACACCACATCTTGCAAGGGGCCTGACAACGCAGGCGCCTGGAAATAATCTAATTATTTAAATTTCAGAATAATTATTGCACCATATAGTTGTTTCATTATTTTAACAAGATAATCAGAAAAAAGTTGTTACTTAGAAACTAAAGTATTTTAGCTTATTAATGATCTCTAAGAAAATGACGGTAATAATTTTTTATCAAGATTTTATCTTTAAAATATTTTTTTAATGTATAAACTGTTAATATAAAAATAGTTAAAACAAAAATTAAAATAGTAAGGGGAGAAAATATTTAAACTAGTAATGGTCCATTAAAGATTGTAAAAATGAGATTCGTTTGCTAGTCATGCATATTGATGTATTCATTAGAGTCGAGCAGTGCCGGAATATCGTGAAGGGTTGAGAACCTTGGATGTTTCTTAAGACGAGGGAGAGTTTCCTGACATCAAACAATCGCTTAATTAACTTCACGGCCTTTGTCAGGAAATTGTTGCAAACGAAAATGCTAAATGATATTCATGAACAACTTGAAGAACACAAAGGAGAAAGTGATTCGTAGCATGGCTTCACTAAGGGAAATGAATATGTGAAAAACGTTTTCTCTCAACATATAAGAATCAATCGACAGTATTGCTGGATACAGAATATAGTTATTAGATTTTAGAAAAGCTTGATATAATGTTTAGGATAAAACGATTTGGGAGGGTAGAGAGGTGTGACAAGGGAGGGAATATCTTATATCGCATAATGGTCCTGTTATCTTATAGAACACACAAGGTGAAGAGCTTGCAATATGAGTGAAATGTTGCCATCTAATACTCTGACCTGCTAATACCTCTCTTGAGTTAACACTCTCTGCCCAGATCACTCTCTCTTCCCAGTTAACACTCCCTGTCCGGTTAACACTCTCTACCCAGTTAACACTCTCTGCCCAGTTAACACTCCCTGTCCGGTTAACACTCTCTACCCAGTTAACACTCTCTGCCCAGTTAACACTCCCTGTCCAGTTAACACTCCCTGCCCAGTTAACACTCTCTGCCCAGTTAACACTCTCTGCCCAGTTAACACTCTCTGCCCAGTTAACACTCTCTGCCCAGTTAACACTCTCTGCCCAGTTAACACTCTGCCCAGTTAACACTCTCTGCCCAGTTAACACTCTCTGCCCAGTTAACACTCCCTGCCCAGTTAACACTCTCTGCCCAGTTAACACTCTGCCCAGTTAACACTCTCTGCCCAGTTAACACTCTGTGCCCAGTTAACACTCTCTGCCCAGTTAACACTCTCTACCCAGTTAACACTCTCTACCCAGTTAAAACTCATGTCAGTTAACACTCTCTGCCCAGTTAACACTCTCTGCCCAGTAAACACTTCCTGCCCAGTTAACACTCCCTGCCCAGTTAACACTCTCTGCCCAGTTAACACTCCCTGCCCAGTTAACACTCCCTGCCCAGTTAACACTCCCTGCCCAGTTAACACACACTGCCTAGTTAACACTCTCCGCCCAGTTAACACTCTGTGCCAAGTTAACACTTCCTGCCCAGTTAACACCTGGAGCCCAGATAATCTCTCTACTCAGTTAACACTTCCTGCCCAGTTAACATTCTCTGCCCAGATAATCTCTCTACTCAGTTAACACTGCCTAGTTAACACTGCCCAGCTAACACTCCCTGCACAGTTAACACTCCCTGCCCAGTTAACACTCTCTTCCCAGTTAACACTCTCTGCCCAGTTAACACTCTCTGCCCAGTTAACACTCTCTGCCCAGTTAACACTCTCTGCCCAACTAACACTCTCTGCCCAGTTAACAATCATTGTCCAGTTAACACTCTGCCTAGTTAACACTCTCTACTCAGTTAACACTCTGCCCAGTTAACACTCTCTACTCAGTTAACACTTTCTACCCAGTTAACACTCCCTGCCTAGTTAATACGACTTCCAAGTTAACACTCCCTGCCCAGTTAACACTCCCAGCCCAGTTAACACTCTGCCCAGTTAACACTCCCTGCCCAGTTAACACTCTGCCCAGTTAACACTCCCTGCCCAGTTAACACTCTGCCCAGTTAACACTCCCTGCCCAGTTAACACTCCCTGCCCAGTTAACACTCTGCCCAGTTAACACTCTGCCCAGTTAACACCTGGAGCTGTGGTAGGCCTGGTACACCTGGAGCTGTGGTAGGCCGGGTACACCTGGAGTTGTGGTAGGCCTGGTACACCTGGAGCTGTGGTAGGCCTGGTACACCTGGAGCTGTGATAGGCCGGGTACACCTGGAGTTGTGGTAGGCCGGGTACACCTGGAGCTGTGGTAGGCCGGGTACACCTGGAGCTGTGGTAGGCCTGGTACACCTGGAGCTGTGGTAGGCCTGGTACACCTGGAGCTGTGATAGGCCGGGTACACCTGGAGCTGTGGTAGGCCTGGTACACCTGGAGTTGTGGTAGGCCTGGTACACCTGGAGCTGTGATAGGCCGGGTACACCTGGAGCTGTGGTAGGCCTGGTACACCTGGAGCTATGATAGGCCGGGTACACCTGGAGCTGTGATAGGCCGGGTACACCTGGAGCTGTGGTAGGCCTGGTACACCTGGAGCTGTGGTAGGCCTGGTACACCTGGAGCTGTGATAGGCCTGGTACACCTGGAGCTATGATAGGCCTGGTACACCTGGAGCTGTGGTAGGCCTGGTACACCTGGAGCTGTGGTAGGCCTGGTACACCTGGAGCTGTGGTAGGCCTGGTACACCTGGAGCTGTGATAGGCCTGGTACACCTGGAGCTATGATAGGCCTGGTACACCTGAAGCTGTGGTAGGCCTGGTACACCTGGAGCTATGATAGGCCGGGTACACCTGGAGCTGTGGTAGGCCTGGTACACCTGGAGCTGTGGTAGGCCTGGTACACCTGGAGCTGTGGTAGGCCTGGCACACCTGGAGTTGTGGTAGGCCTGGTACACCTGGAGTTGTGGTAGGCCTGGTACACCTGGAGTTGTGGTAGGCCTGGTACACCTGGAGCTGTGGTAGGCCTGGTACACCTGGAGCTGTGGTAGGTCTGGTACACCTGGAGCTGTGGTTGGCCTGGTACACCTGGAGCTGTGATAGGCCTGGTACACCTGGAGCTGTGATAGGCCTGGTACACCTGGAGCTGTGATAGGCCTGGTACACCTGGAGCTGTGATAGGCCTGGTACACCTGGAGCTGTGGTAGGTCGGGTACACCTGAAGCTGTAATAGGCCTGGTACACCTGGAGCTGTGGTAGGCCTGGTACACCTGGAGCTGTGGTAGGCCTGGTACACCTGAAGCTGTAATAGGCCTGGTACACCTGAAGCTGTAATAGGCCTGGTACACCTGGAGCTGTGGTAGGCCTGGTACACCTGGAGCTGTGATAGGTCTGGTACACCTGGAGCTGTGATAGGCCGGGTACACCTGGAGCTGTGGTAGGCCTGGTACACCTGGAGCTGTGATAGGTCTGGTACACCTGGAGCTGTGATAGGTCTGGTACACCTGGAGCTGTGATAGGCCTGGTACACCTGGAGCTGTGGTAGGCCGGGTACACCTGACTCAACACATCCCATGAGCTACAATAACGCAGGGAATGTCAACTCTTCTTCCTCGGCAGCAAGGTGTGTGTTTGATCACGTGATTGATGAGGTCTCACCAGACTGTGATTCATACGTCAGGCTGCGGCTAGTCACGTCCAACAGTCTGGTTGACCAGACGTCCAACAGTCTGGTTGACCAGACGTCCAACCGGGAGGCCTGGCCGGAAACTGGGCTATGAGGCCGTTGAATCCCTGAAACTCTACCAGGTTGGTAGGAAGCTGGAATTATAGGGCGCCACAACACACATTTTAGACTCCTGGAATGTGTTTGCTCGGGTTTATCAGCTGAAAAGTGGAGGAATGAATAGGGGCACAAGTGCGTGAGACTGATGCTTGCTCCGACAGGTGTAATTAGTGGGGACACCTGTTCTATAGTCTAACACCTGGGAAAATCTTTGAATTGCCGGGGTGGGGGGGGGAGGAGGCAAGAGGAGATAGCAGCCTTGGTGGGAAACAAAGTTAGAAACAGTTTCCATTAAACATTTAATGTCTACAAATTGTAAACATATTTCAAGTGTTTGAGATGCAGTCTTGTTTCTTCAGTAAGAGTGAGTTCAGCGAGGTCATTGTCCCAGTGTGACCTTTACATGACCTCTGGACTGTGTCGAGTGTGTGGGGATCAAGTGCCTTGTTTACCGGAGGCCGGCTGGCTTACCTCTCCTGTGTCGTGATGTATTCACTCATAGGCTGTACCATCTCAGAACGGTGTAAGGGAGGGACGTACCATGGGTGGTGCAAGGTAGGTGTATATACTACTGGTGGTGCATTGAGGGTTGCTCATGGTGGTACAGGAGGGAGTATGCACTGTTCTTGTTGGTGCAGTCAGATGGCAAGCGTGGTGCAGAGGAGGGTACGTACCTCTGGTGGTTTGTGGACAATATGTATCATAGTAGGGTACGTGTCATAGGTCGTGAAGGAGAGGGTACTTACCGTAGTCAAAGCAAGGAAGGGTGTGTACCGTTGGAAGTTGTATGGTGGAGGGTACGGGTCATGCGTGGTGCAGGGAAGGGTATAAACCCAGGTGGTACACTTGAAGGTACAGTACCGTAAGTGGTGTAAGGAATGGCTACGAATCATAGGCGGACCATGACATGCTCCATACTGGGGGTGGTTCATGGTAGGGTACGTACCGTGAGTGGTGCAGAAGAGGGTACGTACCGTGAGTGGTGCAGAAGAGGGTACGTACCGTGAGTGGTGCAGAAGAGGGTACGTACCGTAGCTACTGCAGGACGGCCCGTCCCAACAGGGGTCACAGATGCACCTCAAGTCTTCATCAAGGAACCCGTGTATGCAACTGTAAATGAATTAAAAAAAAAGTACTTGTAAACAACACGTAATGAATAATGTTATCATTGTAGTTACATTGTTGTCATTGTAGTTACAAACTGTAGTCAAATTAGTTATATTTGAACCTCCTATGTAACGTTTAGTCATAGTGGAACTTTCCACACTTGAGGGGAACTGTCAGTCACTCTCACACTAGGTCTGGTAGCTGAGTGGACAGCGCTCGGGGTTCGTAATCCTAGGGTCCAGGGAAATCCTCGGCAATGGCGGAAACAAATGGGCAGAGTTTTTTTCACCCTGATTTACCTATTCAGCTAGCACTAAATAGGTACCTGGGAGTTAGACAGTTGTTACGGGCTGTTTTCTGTGTGTGTACTCACCTAGTTGTACTCACCTAGTTGTGCTTGTGTGTGTGTGTGTGTGTGTGTGTGTGTGTGTGTGTGTGTGTGTGTGTGTGTGTGTGTGTGTGTGTGTGTGTGTGTGTGTGTGTGTGTGTGTGTGTGTGTGTGTGTGTGTGTGTGTGTGTGTGTGTGTGTGTGTGTGTGTGTGTGTGTGTGTGTGTGCGTGTACTCACCTATTTGTGTCTGCAGTATCAAGCATTGACTCTTGGATCCCGCCTTTCGAGCCATTGGTTGTTAACAGCAATGACTCCAGTCCTATTTCCCTATTATACCTAGTTTTAAAATTTCGAATACAATTTGCTTCCACAACCTGTTCCTTAAGTGCACACCATTTTTCCACTACTCTCATGCTAAAAGAAAACTTCCTAACATCTCTGTGACTCATCTGAGCTTCCAGTTTCCTCCCATGTACATTTCGTATATGTCCACTCTGTCAATCCCCCTGAGTATTTTATACGTTTCTTTCAAATCCCCCCCTCCCTCTCCTCCTTGTTTCTAGTGGCGTAAGGCTCAGTTCCTTCTGGCGCTCTTCATACCCCATCCCTCGTAACTCTGGGACGAGCCTCGTTGCAAACTTCTGAACCTTTTCCAATTTCCTTATGTGTTTCTTCAAGTGGGGACTCCATGATGGGGCGGCATACTCTAAGACTGGCCTCACGTAGGCAGTGTAAAGCGCCCTAAATGCCTCATTATTCAGGTTTCTGAATGATGTTCTAACTTTTGCAGGTGTAGAGTACGCTGCTGTCGTTATCCTATTTATACGTGCCTCAGGAGATAGATTAGGTGTTACGTCCACGCCAGGGTCTCTTTCTAGTGTCGTCACAGGTAGGCAGTTCCCCTTCATTGTGTACTGTCCCTCTGGTCTTCTATCACCTTGACCCATTTCCATAACTTTACATTTGCTCGTTTTGATCTCGAGTAGCCATTTCCCTGACCATCTCTGCAACCTGTTCAAGTCCTCTTGGAGGATCCTACAATTCTCATCTGTCACAACTCTTCTCATCCACTTTGCGTCTTCCGCGAACATCGACATGTATGATTCTACTCCTGTAAACATGTCGTTAACGTGTTTTAGAAATAGAATTGGTCCCAGCACCAATCCTTGAGGTACTCCACTCGTTACTGTTCGCCAGTCCGACTTCTCGTCCCTTATCGTAACTCTCTGGCTCCTTCCTATTATGTAGTTCCTTACCCATGCTAGGACCTTTCCGCTCACCCCCGCCTGCCTCTCAAGTTTGAATAGCAGTCTCATGTGCGGTCCTGTATCAAAGGTTTATTAGCAGTCCAGAAAAATGCAGTCTGCCCAACCTTCTCTGACTTGCCTTATCCTCGTTATTTTATCATAGAATTCCTAAAGGTTTGTTAGGCAAGATTTCCCTTTCCAGATCCTATGTTGATGTTGATTTACAATCCTAATGTTCTCCAGGTGTGCAATTGGTCTTAGCCTAATTATTCTTTCAAGTATTTTACAGAGGATGCTTGTCTGTGATACAGGTCTATAGTTAAGTGCCTGCTCCCTATCACTTTTCTTGAAAATCGGTACAACATTTGCCCTCTTCCAGAAATTGCGCAATTCCCCCGACATAAGTGATTCTTTAAAGATACTTGCCAGAGGCACGCAGAGGGCCTGCGCTGCCTCTTTTAGTATCCACATGGATACTTTGTTTGGTCCAACCGCTTTAGTTGCATCCAGTGTTGTCAGCTGTTTCATTACTTCCTCTGCTGTCACCTCTATATATGAAAGTCTTTCATCTAGGGTAATCTTTTCTAACAATGGGAGCTGCTCAGGCTCGGTTGTGAACACTCCATGGAAGCTCGCATTTAGTGACTCGCAGATTTCCTTGTCACTTTGTCCCCTCTGTTTTCCTTAGTAGTGACACTTGGTCGTTCACCGACATTTTTCTTCTTATATGGCTGTGTAGTAACTTAGGTTGCTTTTTCGCCTTGATCGCAATATCGTTCTCGTAATTTGTTTCCGATGCTCTTCTTATGCTCTTGTAATCGGTCCTAGCTCTGTTGCATCTGATCCTTCTGTCCTCTGTTCTTTATCTTCTGTACTTCCTCCACTCCCTCCTACTTCTCAGTTTTGCTTCCTGACACTGTCTATTAAACCATGGGTTATTATATCCCCTCTCACTTTTTTCCTTTACTGTTGGTATAAATCTCTCATCGGCCTCCTGGCATTTCCCTGTGACTAGGTCCATCATCTCTTGAACTGTTTTTCCTCTAATTTCTTCCTCCCACTGCACTTCTCCCAGATAGTCCCTAATCCTTCTGTAGTCCCCTTTCCTGTAGTCAACTCTCCTTTCCCAGACCTCTTGTCCCTTGGTCACAAGTTTGAGTTCCATCATGTAGTCAAAGACTAGGACAAAATAGTCACTGGCCCCTAGAGGTATTTCATTTTCCAAATTCTCGATGTCTTCTACGTGCTGGGTGAAAATCAGGTCTAATAGACTTGGTGTATCCCCTTCTCTTTCCCATGTGACTTCCTTCACATGTTGTCTTGAGTCTTGAGTTATCTTGAGATGATTTCGGGGCTTTTAGTGTCCCCGCGGCCCGGTCCTCGACCAGGCCTCCACTCCCAGGAAGCAGCCCGTGACAGCTGACTAACTCCCAGGTACCTATTTACTGCTAGGTAACAGGGGCATTCAGGGTGAAAGAAACTTTGCCCATTTGTTTCTGCCTCGTGAGGGAATCGAACCCGCGCCACAGAATTACGAGTCCTGCGCGCTATCCACCAGGCTACGAGGCCCTACTCGTACTTCCTTGTGTTAGAAATTCCTGTCTATAATATCTACTAACTGTGCTCCCCATGTTTCTTCCCCGCCATGAGGATTCCTTGATTCCCAATTTATCTCTCCATGATTAAGGTCCCCCATGACCAGCAGCTTCGCTCTCATTCTGTGAGCTAAAGTTGCTGCCTTCTGCAGTTCAACTATACACGCCTTGTTGTTGTTGTCATCATACTTCTGCCTGGGTCTTCTACTGTTTGGTGGGGGATTGTAGATTACCAAGTGTGTGTGATTACCAAGTGTGTAGCTTACCAACACAATTGTGTACTCACCTAACAGAGTTAGGGGGGACATGAACACAACATTCAAGATTCTGAAGGGAATTGATAGGGTAGATAAAGACAGTCTATTTAACACAAGGGGAACACGCACAAGGGGACACAGGTGGAAACTGAGTGCCCAAATGAGCCACAGAGATATTAGAAAGAACTTTTTTAGTGTCAGAGTGGTTGACAAATGGAATGCATTAGGGGGTGACGTGGTGGAGGCTGACTCCATACACTGTTTCAAGTGTAGATATGACAGAGCCCGATAGGCTCAGGAATCTGTACACCTGTTGATTGACGGTTGAGAGGCGGGACCAAAGAGCCAGAGCTCAACCCCTGCAAACACAACTAGGTGAGTACAACTAGGTGAGTACCTAGTTGTGTGTGTGTGTGTGTGTGTACTCACCTAGTGTGTGTGTGTGTGTGTGTGTGTGTGTGTATGTGTGTGTGTGTGTGTGTGTACTCACCTAGTTGTACTCACCTAGTTGTGTTTGCGGGGGAGTTGAGCTCTGGCTCTTTGGTCCCGGCTCTCAACCGTCAATCAACAGGTGTACAGATTCCTGAGCCTATTGGGCTCTATCATATCTACACTTGAAACTGTGTATGGAGTCAGCCTCCACCACATCACTTCCTAATGCATTCCATTTGTCAACCACTCTGACATTAAAAAAGTTCTTTCTAATATCTCTGTGGCTCATTTGGGCACACAGTTTCCACTTGTGTCCCCTTGTGCGTGTGCCCCTTGTGTTAAATAGCCTGTCTTTATCTACCCTGTCAATTCCCTTTAGAATCTTGAATGTGGTGATCATGTCCCCCCCTAACTCTTCTGTGTTCCAGTGAAGTGAGGTTTAATTCCCGTAGTCTCTCCTCGTAACTCATACCTCTCAGCTCGTGTACTAGTCTGGTGGCAAACCTTTGAACCTTTTCCAGTTCAGTCTTATCCTTGACTAGATATGGACTCCATGCTGGGGCTGCATACTCCAGGATTGGCCTGACATATGTGGCATACAAAGTTCTGAATGATTCTTTACACAAGTTTCTGAATGCCTTTCGTATGTTGGTCAGCCTGGCATATGCCGCTGATGTTATCCTCTTGATATGTGCTGCAGGAGACAGGTCTGGCGTGATATCAACCCCCAAGTCTTTTTCTTTCTCTGACTCCTGAAGAATTTCCTCTCTCAGATGATACCTTGTATCTGGTCTCCTGCTCCCTACACCTATCTTCATTACATTACATTTGGTTGGGTTAAACTCTGACAACCATTTGTTCGACAATTCCTTCAGCTTGTCTAGGTCTTCTTGAAGCCTCAAACAGTCCTCTTCTGTCTTAATCCTTCTTATAATTTCGGCATCGTCCGCAAACATTGAGAGAAATGAAGAAATGAAAATGTGTGTGTGTGTACTCACCTAGTTGTGCTTGCGGGGGTTGAGCTCTGGCTCTTTGGTCCCGCCTCTCAACTGTCAATCAACAGGTGTACAGGTTCCTGAGCCTATTGGGCTCTATCATATCTACACTTGAAACTGTGTATGGAGTCAGCCTCCACCACATTG